AGATAATTTTCTGTCTCAAATGAGGTTTTAAATGAAAATATTCAAGGGGATGGTTTATTTATTTATTTATATGTAGATTATATATTTATATAATTATATAAGTAAATTATAAATTATATATAATTATCATAAACCACAAGTCACATGCATGACCTAATAATTTAAATATGCCCCATATGACACCAAGACCAAGTGGAAAAATCACATACAAATTTAATTTCTTATATTTACTTGGATTCTTTCTGTCCAAGGGAGAAAATTCTCAGAATAAGAAATAATTGAGTAGGCCTTTCCAGTTGTGTCGTGGCTTTGCAGTGATATCATGGTTTTGAAGAAAACATGATAGCCTTCACAGAAACAAGCCTGAAAAAAGAAAAAATGATGTTGTCCTATAGAAGCCATAAATAAGAGTGACGCTGATCTTCAGAATCTTTTGCCTGAGTATGTTCCTGTGAGCTGCAAAAAGAAGGCCCCTCTTCCCGTCAGACAGTGCCCTGCAATGGATATCATCTTATCTTGTAGGACAAGCAGTGAGGGAATTTGGGGGGATGGAGTCATGTCAGATTTGTTAAAGCTGCCCGTTGTCACCAAAGCAGTGGAAAAATAGGCAACCTGGTTCATGGCTGGCAGGAAGGATTATCAATCACCCCGTAGGATCTACAGTCCAGTGATTTATTTCCATAAAGTTACAATCACATATAAACCTTGACCCAGCAATCTCACTCCCAGGAATTTGGCCCACAGATATGAGTGCAAAAGTGCAAAATAACAACACTACATACTTATTTACTGCAGAATTTATTATAATAACAAGAGATTGGAAAAAATACAAATGTCCACCGGTAGATGATCTGTTAAATAAACTATGAGTCATCTACAGGTGAACATTATGCAGCTGCAAAAAAAAAAAAAGATTTAGAAAATTTTCTACATCTTGAGATACAAAGATCTTCAAATATGAGTTATAATTATCTTTTTGTATAAAATAGAGGAAAATAGAAATATATTTGCATCAAAAGATATATGACTGTGCAAGACTGTATACAACAGGTACAAAAATTGTCACCTAAGGAGGGAAGATGACAGACCCTTTTTGCTGAATATTTTTATGTATGGTACAATTTTTGAACAGTACAGTGTACAACCTACTCAAAAGAATGTTTTAAAAACTCATTTTGTGGAATTCTGTGGAAAATGCTATGGTCGGTTCTTCAAAAAATTGAACATAGAAATACCATATGTTACACTGGAATTAAAATTAGAAAGAAAAATAAGAAAAAAAAAAGAAATATCGTATGTTCTGCAATTCCACTTCTAGGTATATCCTCAACAGAAGTGAAAACAGGAACTTGAACAGATATTTGCAGACCATGCTAATAGCCACATTATTCACAAAAGCCAAAAAGGCAGAAGGAACCCAACCAAGTGTTTATAGACAGATGAAGGGTTAAAAAAAGTGTAACGTGTGGATATATATATAATGGAGAGTAGTCATAGTGATAGTAGAATGGTGGTTGCCAGAGGCTGGAGGAAGGACAGAATGGGGAGTTAGTATTTCCTATGAAAAAGTTGTGGAAATGGATGGTGGTAATAGCTGCACAACTGTGTGAATGTGTGTAAAGCTACAGAACTGTACATGTAACAATTAGTGAAACAGTAAGTTTTATTACGCATATTTGAACAATTTTAAAAACTAATAATTCACATACACTTCTGTAAAATTCATTTTGTTAGCAGTAAATCACAAATTAATGAACAAAGCTATATCCACAATACCGCACACAAGAAATTGCCAGAATAGAATTTCTCTAATCGTCTCCGAGAGAGTCAAGAAGTGAACCAAACTGAAGACATAGGACAAGAAAAGAGACGCCGCGCCCAACGTGGGGCTCGAACCCACGACCCTGAGATTAAGAGTCTCATGCTCTACCGACTGAGCTAGCCGGGCGCCCGGCTAAGTAAACTTCAACAACTCTTACTTCAAGGTAGGATTCAGGTTATCGGCCGCTTCAGACACAAAAGGAGATTTATTTGCAAACTCCAGCCGCTAGGAAGACCTGGAAACTCAACCTCCGCAGATCCTGCCCGACCGCTCCTCCCACCTGGGTCTGTTTTTTTTTTTTTTTTTTTTTTTTTTTTGCTTGCTCTGCTCTGCCAGCCAGCCAGCCTTTTCCCACTCCCGGAAAGCGCAGGGCGCAAAGGAGGAGAAACGTGGGCCTCATAATGCCACTAGCACGCTCACCTTGTGATATTTTAATCAGGAGTTTAGAGGTAGGGGCTTGGGTGGGTCCCGCCGCCGCCGCTCTTTCCAATCTGGGCGAACTCCAGATGCGGGATTTGCCCGCAGGGCTCTGCGAACATTCGCCGTTTGAAAACTTGGCAGGGAAAGAAAAAAGGAAACCGCAACCCCGCGTTGGAGATGCCGGGGATCGAACCCGGGGCCTCATACATGCAAAGCATGCGCTCTACCACTGAGCTACATCCCCACTTTGCTAAAACCTTCTCTGTACATTCTCTTGGCTGCTTATTAGTATGGGCAGTGGGTGTACTACGAGCCCGGTAAGACAGCCCAGATGCTTGCAAAGCCGGTCGGGCAGGGCCGGAGGTGTGTTCGAGCCCTTCACTGACTCCAGGGCAGCGGGTGTCCACTGAGGGACACCGGCGGGGAGAACAGAGCCGGAATAAACACCCGAAGGCAGCCGTGGAAAACGTAGGGGAAACCATCAGGCACGATGCCCCAAATGAACTGTGAGCCAAAAAGGGAAAGCAAGGAAGACTGTGTACAGGCTGCTACGTTTGTTAACCAGGAAGAACGGGAGTGTAGTAAACGACATAATATTTGTGTAAAAATAATTCAGAATCGCAAAGTTGATCGTTTGGGATGGAAGGAGCATAGACCCTGGGCACATTTTTCGCTGTGAACCACTTCTGTAAATCTGAATTCGGAACCACGTTTAAATCAGTTCAACCCAAGAAAAGTTTACTTTTCTTACTGTGCAACAAGAATTGCTCTAGAAACCTGGGGATCCAGCCACGAACAAAACTGACACAGTCATCTCCTCTAACAGCTCAAATTCCAGAGTGTTAGAGAGAAAACAGAGCCAGGTTGAAGGACAAGAGTGTGGTAAGAGGTGATTTTAAACAGTGTTGTCCCGGCCGGCTTCACTGAGAGATGACATTTGAAACAAGACTGGAAGGAGGTGGGAAGTTTGGGAAAGCCATGCAAGTATGGGAAAAGAGAGGTCCCAGTAAAGGTAAAAGCCAGTTCAAAGGTGCTGAAATAGGATCTTGCTGGCATTTTGCAGGAATAGCAAGGCAGTCCCTGTGGGAACAGAGGAGTCAACAGGGAAGAGTGATAGGAGATGCAGGTAGAGAGGCTGGGTGCAGGGGGTGGGGTCAAAGAACAGGTAGGGCCTTTGGAGGATTATAAAAGACTTCAACTTTTACTTTGAGCAGTGGGAGCCAATGGAGGGTCTGAGCAGAGGAGAACTTAAAATTGATCTGACTTAACATTTCAACAGGACTGTTCTCATAGCTGGGTGGAGAAGCTGGGGTAGGGCAGTGTGACCGAAGGGGAGAGAACTGTTGTGATCATGAGGTCATTGGAGATGGTGTAGTGGAGGGCGTGAGTGAGGACACACAGGGGATTGAGGGTGGAGCATGTGCATTTTTTCCTCTAGGGAGTCGCAGGGAGAACTCCCAGTTTGGCCTGAGCACCTGGAGGGATGGAGTTGCTGGTACATGGGGTGGGGTGGGGAAGGCTCTGGAAGGAACAGGTGGAGGGGCAGATTAGAAGTACAGTTGTGGATATGGTGATTGTGTGATATCCCTTAGAACATGCTACTGGGAATGGGATGTGAGAGCCCGGAATAGCAGGGGATGCTGGGTGGGGATGTGTACTGTGGCATCCGCAAGAAGAGGGTCTTTCAAGCCAAGGAAGTGGAAGAGATCAGGAGTGAGTATAGACAGAAGTCCAAGATCTGAGCAAGTGCAGGAAGAGGAGGAGGAACCCACGAGGGAGGCCAAGAAAAAAGTAGGAGAGCCAGGGACTACAGCATCCACAAAGATGCCTGGAAAGAGTGTCAGCAAGGAGGAAGCATCCGAGGAAAGGGCAGGTGAGGTAGACCCGAGGAGGAGCCTTTGCCTTTAGGTTACTGAGGTCACTGGTGACTTTGACATGAGTGGTTTCTGAGGAGGGTGGTGTCTAAAGCCCGCCCCGAGTGCCCTTTGGGAATGAGGAATGGTGGTGGAACCACATACTCCTGGCAGTTCTGGAGGGACAGTAGAGGACTGGGTTCGTTTGGTGGAGATTAAAGTGGGAAAATGTATTGTAAATGTATTATTTGTTCAAAGCCAAGAATTAAAGAAAGAATAAACAAGAGGGAGAACAACGGTGGGAGAAGAAGCCACAGAAGTGGATACAAGCCACGCTTGGGGGTGGGGGCAAGAGCCACGTTCCAGACCCTAAATTTAGCTCAGCCCCGGGCCAGGACAAACCTACACTCCGGGAACCTGACACTGCGGCCCGGGCGCTAGGCCCTTGGCCCGGCCGTGCTAGGTCGAGCTCGGGAGTGGCGCCCAGCTGGGTGTGTGCGCCCACCTGTCCAGGCCCGTTTCCCACCGCTGACTGGATCAGGCTGGGGGTGGCCTAGAGAGGCTTGCGGAGGGTCTGGGCGAGGTGGGGGGTGGGCGACGGAGAGGGGACGCCAGGGGACAGAGGAGGCTACAGACCAAAGCCAGTGTTTGAGGGGCCCCGAGTGGGGCGCACGGCGCCGGCCCTCACTTGGATCCGATCGGTAAGTGAGGTCTGGCCCGCCCACCGCGCGCTCGCGCCGGTCTCGCTTCCCGGCCGGGCAAGCTCTCAGCTCCGGTCTCCGACAGCCCGGCTCCAGCCCCGCCCTTCCTCTCCCAGTGGGTGCTCAGAGGCCGGACCTGGCCAACCCACTCGGAGCCGCGTACTGTCGGGCCCCTCGACTTCCCCAGCACCGCCCGGCTCAGGCGCGCCGAGGGAGCGCATGGCGGCGGTGGGGCCGCGGACGGACCCCCGCGCCGGGGCCGAGGCGCTGGCCCTGGCCGCGGAACTGCAGAGCGAGACCACCTGCTCCATATGCCTGGAGCTGTTCCGCGAGCCGGTGTCCGTCGAGTGCGGTCACAGTTTCTGCCGCTCCTGCATCGCGCGCTGCTGGGAGCGCCCCGGCGTGGGAGCTCCCGCGGCGTCCCGCGCGCTGCCCGGCCCGCTGCCCTGCCCGCAGTGCCGAGAGCCCCTGCGTCCCGGCCAGCTGCGGCCCAACCGGCAGCTGGCCTCGGTGGCCACGCTGCTGCGGCGCTTCAGTCTTCCGGCGGCCGCGCTGGGGGAGCGCCGGCCCGCGCAGGCGGCGGCGGCCGGGTGCGTCCAGCACGGCGAACCGCTCAAGCTCTACTGCCAGGACGACGGGCGCGCCATATGCGTGGTGTGCGACCGCGCCCGCGAACACCGCGCGCACGCAGTGCTGCCGCTGGACGAGGCTGTGCAGGAAGCGAAGGTGAGCCCCGCGCCCCGCCCCCACCCCGCACAGACCGCCAAGACCCAGCTCGCGTGGCGTTCCCGCGCGCGCGGCGCATACGGCCGGCGGGCAGGCGGGGGGCCTGGGGGAGACCCTGTCTCTTTCCTCCTCTGCCGAGCTACCCAGCGCTGGGTGCTGAGTGCGGCTCTCTCTGTGTCGCCGCCGCTCCGCCAACACCACCCTCCCACCCACCTCGAGTTTCCCTCTGGGCTCCCTACTGGCCCGCCTTCGCAATACCTCCACGGACTTGGCGATTCTCTCCACGGCTTCCAGCAGTATCTCGGCCACACCCACACTTCCCTGCCCGCTCTCTCAGCCCTTTCCCTGGGCGTGGCTCTGTGCTGCGCCCTCGCGTCCTGGGGTCGAGTGGGACGGCCTTCCGAGGGGTTGGGGCCAGGCAGTGGGGGACTCCTGGATTGAGTAGAGAACCAAAGACTGTCTTGGGCTGTGTCAAAGATATGGATCTGGGGCAGTCTCTTCCCTGCCTCCTTTATGGGGTGTCCACAGAGGCTTCGGGCACACAGCCCCCAGTCTTTCTTTACTCCTTACTCCACTCCAGCCCTCCCACCCAGGAGGCTTTCTGATGGTGAGGAGGAAAGCAGAGGGGAAGACAGGTAGGCTGGGCTTGTACATAGCCTGCATTTCAGCTTGGATGTGTACAGATGGTCTTTAGGAAATAAGACCTTGGAGCTTAGGAGTTACCCTTCAGTTGCCCTCTTCCCTTATGTGAGCCTGTGCAGGTGGTAGCCATCCCTATGTCCAGATATGGCTTCAACCCTGCCTCCTCTCTTCAATGAAGAGGTTCTCTTTCTCCTGGATAGCTCCAGAAAGGCACAAGTTGGGGTTTTCAGAGTCCTCCCCCCATAATGTCTCCCTTCTCACCCCCCTGCAGGAGCTCCTAGAGTCCAGGCTGAAGGTCTTGAAGAAGGATCTGGAGGACTATGAGGTGTTTCGTTCCACGGAAGAGAAGGAGAGCAAGGAGCTTCTGGTGAGCTGAGCATCCCCCAGGTGGGCCCTCTGTCAGTGACAACAGAGGACCGCCCACCATCCTGGCCCTGTGGGGGCATTCTTTAAAAAGAAGTAAAGTCAAGGGGCACCTGGGTGGCTCAGTGGGTTAAAGCCTCTGCCTTCGGCTCAGGTCATGATCCCAGATCAAGCCTCACATCGGGCTCTCTGCCCAGTGGGGAGCCTGCTTCCTTTCCTCTCTCTCTGCCTGCCTTTTTGCCTACTTGTGATCTGTCAAATAAATAAGTAAAATCTAAAAAAAAAAAAAAAAAAAAAAAAGGTAAAGTCAAGATTGAAAATTGGAGGGATGACAAATGTTAAAGGAGAACATTTAGCTGAGTAAAATTTGCAGATATTATTGGCTTTATTCAGCAATTCATGAATGGGGCAGCAGCCCATCTAGCAGATAGGAAAGAACTCTGAAGGGGCACCTGGGTGGCTTGGTTGGCTAAGCGTCTGCCTTCGGCTCAGGTCGTGATCCCAGGTCCTGGGATTGAGCCCATGTCGAGCAGCCTGCCTCTCTGCCTGCTGCTCCCCCTTTTTGTGCTCTCTCTTTCTCTCTCAGACAAAAAACAACAACAAGAACAACAAAAACAAAACAAAACAAAACCCCAAAAACTCTGAAAAGCTATACAAGGCAAAAGATTTTATAGGCAGAAGGGAGCAGGAAGAAGGAATTTATACTACGCCAAAAAGCAGATTGGTTATTGCAAAGTTATTTTCCCTCTTGGGGAGGGTAGGGGTTTATCAGGTAGTTACTTAACTAATGCTGATCAGGGGATTCTTGCTTGTCTTTTTAAAAATTCTATTTCTGGGAAAATTGAATCTCTAATTACGTCTCTATTTCCTGGTGTGGGACTTAGCATGGGTGACTCCATTTTGGGCCCGCTGTCTTGTTTTTAACTCAAAATACATGTGTTTGGGCATGAGGAGGAGGTGACCTCAGTTTAATCCATACAGTGGCTCTGGGAGACCCTAATTTATTCTTCCTCCTTTCCAAATGAGACAGCTATAGCCCGGGGTGATTCTGTGGCAAGTTTGCTGTTGCTCTAGGTTGGTGAGAAAGCACATTTGTGACAGGGGACGTGAAAGCATGTGTTGAAGCTGCTGTGTGCTCAGAGTTGGGATATTTAAACTAGAGGATGTGGGTGGTGGGTATGTATAGGTGAGCCTCTGACCCCTGAACAGTGAGGTGGGTGGAATTCTGTCCTGTGGGATGGCTGAGGCTACTGTCCAAATGCTAGATCTTGATGTGCCATTGCCTCTCCAACTTCTACTTTCCTGAGACAGAAGCAGATGGCAGCTGAGAGAGAAAAGGTGAGCGCAGAGTTCCAGGCACTGCGGGCCTTCCTGGTGGAGCAGGAGGGCAGGCTCTTGGGCCGTCTGGAGGAGCTGTCCCGGGAGGTGACACAGAAGCAGAATGAGAACATAGCTCAGCTTGGGGGTGAGATCACCCAGCTCTCCAAGCTCAGCAGCCAGATCCAGGAGACATCTCGAAAGCCTGACCTTGACTTTCTCCAGGTGAGTCTGGATTGGCCAGAGGTATGAATCATTTATCCTAAGGCATCACAAATGGCAAGTGAGAACAGAGTCAGATTCTGTGAGTTTAGTAGAATCACATACTTGAGCAGAAGAGGACTGGAGAAGACTGCCCTTATTCTCCCGGGGTTAAAGTTATAAAAAGATAAAGAACTTTCTTGACCTTTAGCCACAATAAAGATCTTTCTGGTTTTACTCAGCGATTCGTGAATTGGGCAGTATCCAATCTAACAGACAGAAAGGAGATCCAAAGAGCTATATACAAGGCGTAGAGAAGCCTTGAGACAAAAGTCTCAGAAAATAATACTTCTCTTTAGTACATGCATTTGACATTTTGACATTTTCTACTCTACTTTCTTTGAAAGTAAATAGTCACGATCCACAAATAAACATCACAGGTCACAAATGGGTCAAGCATGGTCATTTAAAAGATGCTGATCTGAGTGACCAGTCATTGCCAAAGGACTGTGTCTTATCTGGGGCGGTGTCGAGAGTGCAGGAAACACTGGATCCCAGCACATGGCTCCAGTGATGAATCTGTAATGAAGGGAGCCTTTGCAAAGCTGTGGGAAGGGAGATGATGAGACACCCAGTCATCAGCCACCAGCAGAAAGCCATTGCCATCTGGACCCATGCAGATGGTGGGGGCTGGTACACCGTACTGCTTATTCCTCTAGAAGCAGGACAAGAGGCCAGTTTATTTTATCAAGGGTGACTGGAGGTTACCTGATGCTGAGTTGGTTTTCTTTTATCTTTCTTTCCAGGAATTCCGAAACACACTAAGCATGTGAGTGGACCTATGAGTTACTTAGGCCTCTCCAAGCTGGCTCTTCTCCTTTTCCACTGAGCTGTCTCTCTTCATTCCCTCACCCCTGACCTCTCACCTCCCAACTCCTACACTGTCTTACCTGTGTACCTCCCTAAGGCAAATGTCCACCTGCCTGACTGTGCATATTTTGGTGTAAGATCAGCCTCTCCTTTCTTCACCTCTCCCCACCAGGAGGACCTTGCCATCCTAATTGTCTTAGCCCATTGGGAATAGGACAGTGTTTGGGGGCCTTCCTCAGGGTCTTTGTCCTGCAGATGCAACAATGTGCCTGGCCCCAAGCCAACCACAGTCTCTTCTGAGATGAAGAATAAAGTCTGGAATGTTTCCCTCAAGACCTTTGTCTTAAAGGGGTTGCTCAAGAAGTTCAAAGGTAAGAGGCCTGTGTTTGGGGCTGGGCCATGCAGTGCTGGTGCCATGTTGTGTTTCTGGTAGTTTAGGGTCCCAAGGATATGCCTTTCCAAAAGTTATGTGAGAAAATAGGAACTAGGGTGTGTCGAGGCCAGATTGGTGCAGGGAAATGGTGGTAGCAAATCCATTCAGCAGCAGTTCCCACCCCCCATCTTCCTAGCACAAAGATTCCCCCAGGGACAGTCAGGGTAGAGGTGGGTAGTAGGAGCAAAAAGAGGGATGAGGAAGAAGAGCTCAGCTCAGACCAGCTCAGGCAAAAGAGGGGGTAGCTGGAGAGGTAGAGCCAGGATACTGCCCTTCCCCATCCCCCACACTTGACCCAGTGCCTGCACATCAACTCTCAGCCTTTGGGGTGTCTGGGGAGTGGGTGAGCAGGTAGGGCTATAAATGTCAGAGGAGGTGGTATTGCTATCATTGCCAAATAGACAATCTCCCCAGTCAGTTACACATACACTGCTTTGTTTCTCCTCCTCAGAGGATCTTCGGGGAGAGCTGGAGAAAGAGGAGAAAGGTATGATGGTTGTTGTGAAAGGGAGTTCCCATTATCTGGCCATGCAGAGAATCCAATCCTTGACCATGAGGTTTCTCTGGGCTTTGTGCATGCTTGTTCCTTCTGCCTGCCTGCCTCTGCTTTCTGCTGTCTGCTTCCTCATCCTTGCCCCCCAATTCTGGCTCCCTCAGGCTGCAGTGGGACCTGTAGGCCTATAAATTGTGGGTCACTCCCCTGGACCAGGCGCTCTCCCCTCTCCCCACTCCCAGACAGACAGAGACCTCTCCTGGGGACACAGGTTGTATGTGTGTGTGTGGGGGGGTGGGGGTGGTCAGGGAAAGCAGGAGGAGACTGAAAAGAGGAAGGGAGGCAGTTCTGATTACTGCAGAGCTCTGGGGTGAATGGGAGCCAAACCCACAGGAGGGCAGGCGAGGGGAGGGCACGTACTCCTGATGCTGATGACTGAACAAGCTAAGTCAGAATTTACCTTAGAAGAATCTAAACCAGCTGAGTCAGACCATGCCCCTCCTTTGTGCAGAACCCTGGGACAGCCCCTCTCCCTCACCACAGTCCTCACTGGTCTTCCAGGCTGAGGGATCAGGCCTCAGTGCACACTCTTCCCCTGGTTTCCTCTGTGCAGACAAGACAAACCCTCCTAGCTGCTCTTGAAGTGCACCAAGCACACACCCACCTCAGGGCATTTGCACTGCATTGGCTGGGGCTCAGCCTGGTATATGCTTCCTCTAGACCTCAGTATATGTGGCTTCCTCACTTCCTTAATGTCATTGCTGAATTGCACAGTGAGGCTTTTTCGCTTTCCCTCGCCACTCTGGTTGAAATTACAGCTTTCTCTCCTGATTCTTCTTATCATCCATATTTATGTTTTATTGTCTCTTCTCCCCTCCCCCCAGAAAGGAAGCTGCAGGAGGGCAGGGATACTGAACTGTGGGATTCCCCGGGGCCACAGCAGTCCTGGAAGATAGTAATTAGGACAAGTGTGCACATTTTAAGTTTTTATTATGAAAATTTTAAACATACACAAAAGTAGGAGATCTCAATGAATATTACTTTCTCATCACACACCTTCAATTAATATTTTTCTTAAACACCCTTACCCACTTCTTCCCACTGGAAGCAAATCACAAATAAGTTCTTTCCATAAATATTTCCATAAATGTTATCTCTAAAGATATACTTAAAAAAATTAGAAAACCACGAAACCATAGTCACCATTAGAAAAGGTAACAGTTCTTCCAGTATCTAGTGTTCAAAATCCCCGCCCCCCATTGTCTTTTAAATGGGATTTGTGGATCTCTTCGAACTGGGATCCCAATCAGGTTCCTACCCTCCACCTGTCTGACTTCCCCGCGTGCTTGTGGGGGGATGGCGGTGGAGAGGTAGCCGGGGAGGGCTGAGCGAGGGGCTTGCACGGGACGTCCCTCCCTGTGTCTGCCTTCAGTGGAGCTGACCCTGGACCCGGACACGGCCAACCCCCGCCTCATCCTCTCTCTGGATCTGAAGAGCGTGCGCCTCGGACAGCGGGCCCAGGACGTGCCCTGCCACCCACGCCGCTTTGACACCAACACGCGAGTGCTGGCGTCCTGCGGCTTCTCCTCCGGGCGGCACCACTGGGAGGTGGAAGTGGGCTCCAAAGACGGCTGGGCCTTCGGCGTGGCGCGGGAGAGCGTGCGCCGCAAGGGCCTCACGCCCTTCACCCCCGAAGAGGGCGTCTGGGCGCTGCAGCTCAACAGCGGCAAGTACTGGGCGGTGACTAGCCCCGAGCGGACGCCCCTCAGCTGTGGCCAGCTGTCCCGCGTGCGGGTGGCCCTGGATCTGGAGGTGGGGGCTGTGTCCTTCTACGCCGCGGAGGACATGCGACACCTGTACACGTTCCGCGTCAATTTCCACGAGCGCGTGTTCCCCCTTTTCTCCGTCTGCTCCACCGGCACCTACCTGCGAATCTGGCCTTGAGAAGGCTTCGTCCGCCTGCCCCAGAGGGTGAGTCAGGCAAGGGTGCCTTCCTCCTTGTCCCGGCTGCCCAGGGGAAGCAGTGTCGGAGCCTCCTGGTGACTTCGGGCCTGCCCCCCTCGAGGCTCCCCGGACTTGGCCTGGGCGGCCTTGGAGGGGCACCTGCAGACCCACAACACTGGAGCCAGCGGAACAGGCGATGTGGAAAAGGGTTCGGGCACCTGAGCGGGGGAAGAGAGTCCTTGGCCCCTGGGGCCTGCCCTCTGCCTGCTGGCGGCAGGTGGATCTGGCCTGAGCTATGGGGAAGTGGAGGGGGGTGAGGAGGGAGCCCAGTGCTGACAGAGGTACTTCCCATCTCTGGGGCTTCCTGCCTGGGCTTGCCATGGCCTCTGGTTCTGTCCAGCAGCACCAAAGCCAGTGCTGTCCTCAGTGCGCAGGGTCAGGCCCAGATAGCCGGGTTCACCATCCTTTCTGGTTTCCCTTCTTGTCTGCAGTCAGCTCTGCCTCCAGACACCTGGATCCAGCCGGCCTGGGGTCTCTACTCATAAAGGAGTACTGTACTCCCTCCCAGCTCAGAGAACAGCCTGGGCCAGAACTGGAAGGAGATTCTTGACCTGTACACGAGAGGAAAGCCCAGGACCTGGCTACCTTCCAGTACCCCTCAAGCTGATGATACAGAAAGAGTGATATGTACATTCTCAGCCACAGTGACAGCCCTGTGTTCTCACAGATGCCTGAACCCCTTTCAGATGCCAAGGTATAATCTCCCTTGAGTAAGGAGACCACAGGTTATGGAATTTTGAAACACAGAACAGCACTTACAATTTTACAGACACAACTGCCATCAGCAGACATGTCTCTGACATACCCTTTCTGGAACTAGGCAAATGTACGCCAGCAGCAGCCTAGTGCCAAGGTCTGTTCAGCCTGTGCCCTGGTGGGGGTATTAATCCCTTGGCTGATTGGTCCCTAGCTTCTGTTTGGGTGGGCTTTGGGGAGGGGGTGTTGGGCTGTTCCCCACTTAATGCTCCCCAGGGAAAAGGGATGAGGAGATGGAAATACAGATTGAGCTCATTTCTAGGGTGGCTGAGCTCATTCTTGACTCCCCCAGTCTGAGTGCAAGAGCACGGCAGGAGCAAATGTTTCTGCTAGACTGGGTGAGCAGGTGTGTTTAAGTGTGTGAGGAATGTGTGCACATGTGTTAATATCTCGGATGGAGGGGGCAGGGGTGTATGTGTGTGGATTACAAAGAGGGCATTTATCAGCATGTGAATAAGGTTTAGGTGTTGCAAACAGACCTATGTCAGTTTGGTAAGACCCTATTTTTCATTTGTTGTTAAATATTAGCCACCCCATATTTAGGTCAGGGGCCTAGGTTTCCTCCCCCACTACCTGGTTACCTGGCTAGATGAAAGTCAGTCTCAGGCCTATTCTGTCCCGCACAGGTTTAGACAGGTGTATGGGCATGTAGGGACAGTGACAACTGGATATTCTGGTCTGCAAGTGTCATGGAGTTCCTGTGCTCTGTCCCTGAGAGGTTTCAAGCACACTTTGCATACAATGGTCTTACAGGGCAGGCATGATACTGTTCTAGAGGCAGACCCAGTGGACAAAGCACCAGGTAATCAGAATCCAGTGACTTGTGGGCTGGGGACAGGTTCATATAAGAGTCCAGCCTACAGGGGTGGCTGAGTCAGTTAAGTGCCTGGCTCCTGACTTCAGCTCAGGTCATGATCTCCAGTGGTGAGATCGAGCCCCTTGTGGGGCTCTGCGCTGGGCATGGAGCCTGCTTAAGATTACTCTCTTTCCCGATCCATCTGCACAACTCCCCCCGCCCCCACACCAGCTCATGCTCTCTCTCTCCAATAAATAAATAAATTTTAAGAAAAAAAAGAGTCCAGGCTACAGTATTATTGTCTCATTCCAGAGGGTGAGTCCTATGTGGAGAGTAGCTTTAGAATACTATAGCCAATACATGTATTTGAATCCCACTAGTTTCCACAAGGAAAACCCATTTTTAACATTCACTTGCTAATTAAATTGGCTGATGTTATCATCAAGCCCTAATGGTATCTGGGCTTGTATGGGTTTTGGATTGAGTAGCACAGTTAAAGTCACATAACAACTGTGCTGCAGGATATATTACAGGTCACAGAAGGGGGGTGTCTGGAGAAGGTGCCTGTAGGGCCAGGTCTGGGGACTGCAGGGCTGGCTGGCTGTGTGTGTATTTCCAGCTTTTGTGTTTGAGAATGGGATTGTGTGCCTACTGGAGTATGTGTGTTTGCAGAATAACTACACAGATATCTATATATCTGAAGAAATATAACAACAGTTACAGTAACAATCACAGATTGGGGATAAGAGACGCTCTCTTTTGGTCACCAGAGCAGTGTAGTGACTTCGGATATCACTCTGCGGGTGTGAGGATTTGTGTGATTGTGTGCATTTTTCTCTCCCATCCTTTGGGCATCCCAAGATCTGGGAGATGTTTGGGTCTCTGAAAGCAATGACTGGCTTAACTTGGTTCGTTCAGATCCCACCCATGAATCCCAGATCCTTGAGTTGCATGAGCCATTTCCCTGAAAACAAACAACAACAGCAGACCATTACATGGCTCAGCCTGCAGACTGGAGGGCACCCACAGACCCAAGTCACCTGGCCTTGCAGGGACCGTGGGGCAGTTTGGGCCACCAGGTCAAGGTCCACCATTTGTAGCCATCACTTTGTTCTTTTAAGTTTTATCTCAAGTCTTTAATTCCAGTGAGTTAGCATCCAGTGTTTTATTAGCTTCAGGTGTACAATATAGTGACTCAACACGTCCCTACATCACCCTGTACTGCTCCTCATGACAGGTGTACTCCTTAATCCCCATCCCCTATTTAACCCCTCTTCCCACCCCATCCCCTCGAATAACCATCAGTTTGTTCTCTACAGTTAATAGTCTATTTCTTGATTTCTTTCATTTTCCCCCCTTTGCTCATTTGTTCCCTAAATTACACACATGAGTGAAATCATAGAGTATTTATCTTTCTCACTTATGTCCTTTAGCATTAGGCTCTCTAGCTCCATCCATGTCCTTGCAAATGGCAAGATTTCGTGGGGTTTTTTGTTTTTTGTTTTTTTTTTTTTGGCTGAATAGCATTGTATTGTGTAAATATACCCCTTCTTTATCCATTCATCAGTGATGGACACTGGGCTGCTTCCATATCTTGGACACCGGCCACTTTCTCATCTCCTGTCCCTCACCTGGGCTCTCATACTCTCCATGTCCCGTATCCCTTGGGCCTTTAGGGGCTCTTAGGAAACTGGTTCCGCAAGAGTTAAGGCGGGCCCAATGGGTTGCCTTTTCCTAATTTGTCTAATTTTCCTAATCCTTCACGCCCCGACCTTCTGATTTCTCCGACTCCCTCTCTCGGGTTCTCCCCCCAGATCTCTCGCTGCCCACTGAATCCCACCCTCCAAGCCCGCACCTGGATTTCTTCAGGACAGGCCTGTTGACACCCTCCCCGTAATGCCTCCCGCGCAGCCCTGATCTCGGGCCCTCAAGCTCGTACACAGCCATCCTTGGCCCTCTCCAGCCAACGGGTCTTCGCCCCTGACCCCTAAGCCCCCGGAAGACCTTGGGCCCTCCTAAGGCCCGCCCAGTGGAGGTCCCGCCCCTGACCGCGTAGCTTCTTGCCCTCCCCCGTCCCTCACAGCCCGGAAGGGCGCTGCGTCTGCCCTCTCTCCGCGGGTATTTCTCTCAGGGTCTGCGGCTTGGCCTGCTGCCCTTGGCACTGGCAGACATCAATGCTGAGACGGCGGCGGCGACATTAGGCTCTCTTTGGCTGAAAGGCGGCGGCCCGCCTCTCAGCACTTGGTTCCTCCCTGCGGCGCTTTGCGGCTGCGCGGTGGATGTGGCGGTGTCAACTGCTCTTGCGCAGAGAGCCCAGTTGCAGTTGGCTCCATAGCTCAGGGGTTAGAGCACTGGTCTTGTAAACCAGGGGTCGCGAGTTCAAATCTCGCTGGGGCCTTCGCTCAGTTTTTTCCACTCCTTTGCAAAAGCGGAAGATGCGTGAACCAACACGAATTTCCGCCCTTCTGGGAGCCAGGCCCTAGGTTGAACTGACTTGTCTTGGCTCCTCGGATGCGGGGTGACGAGAAGTGGCCGCATTTCTCGAGGATCCAGACCCCCTGCACCCGTGGCGTTGAGGTCACAGGCTCCGCGGGCTCCGCGCAACCTCTACAAAGCGGTCCCTCGCGCGTTTCGCGCGCTCTCGGGAAGTCTGCGGCGGATCCTTCCGTTCTCCTCTCACCCCACTCAGCCCAGGGCCAAGTCCTCATTTCCTCTATCTTCTTCGTTTAGTGGGGACGAGCTGTCTACGCCCACCTTCCCACAACACACCCTGGGAACCTGTTTCAGTCGGGAGGGGGGCTAGGTTTAAGCCCCCGCTTGGCTTGCCGTGGGTCCCCACAATCTAGGCTCTGTAGTGAGGTAGTCGCTCCCGAGGCCAGGCCGCTCCCGAGGTGCCCTGCTCCTGAGGGTGGGCGCATAGGGGTGGATGAATCCTGGGAGTCCGGGACGCGCAGGTGTCGGCAGGTGCAGATGCGGCCCGGCTCATCCCGGGCGCATCTGTCCGGACCTTGATGCAGTCTTGGCTCTTTGGATGCGAGCGGGCTGATGGGAAGGCCTGAGCGCCCATTCAACAGTCCACTCATCCCTTCTCCCGCGTCTCCCCAGGGTTCCGCGAGTGGTTTTCTCCACTTTGGGGCACCGGGCCGGGTTGTTTCCGAAACCCACACGGCGCTGGAGTGCGGCTTGGAGTTACCGCGGGGACCTTTTTGAAGGTCCCCTTTGACCGGACAGAGGGCTCCTGCGGGCTGGGATGGCGCGGCGGGTCAGGGTCGCAGCCTGGGCAGAGGCCGCCTGGTCGTGTGCAAGCAAAGGCCGTGACGGGCGGGTCCCCAGCCCTCCCGTGAGCCTGGCTCCCTCCCTATCCGGCAGCGCCCCCATCGCTCTCTGGGGATATACCCGCATTTCGTACGCTTGACTTCCTTGAACAGCATAAATGAATGAAAGTCAGTTTAGTATATATTAATTCTGTGTTTAAAAGAAAACCGAAATGGTTAAAAAAAATGGCTAAAAAAAAAAGCAAATGTCGCAATGAAAAACTTTAGGGCAGGTGTTCCCATTTTTGGACGTCTGCTCGCACTTTTCTGATATAATCCCATAGAGAAGGGAAGCCAATGCTTGCAACTCGGAGGCGGTCGTGACCAGGAGCGCGAGGACATACGGTGGCCCAGGACAGAGCCCATCCAACACTTCGCGCGCACGAAAGGAGGCGAGGTGCCAGTTAAGGAAGAGGCCGGTTAGCATCTTGTGCTCCGAGGAAGAGGCCGAGGTGCCAGCGAATGAAGCGGTCAACGCAGAGGCCTGAGCAAGATCCTGGAGTGGCAGTGGGGACATGAGCACTGTGTTTCCTGGAAGAGGGTTAGCCCATTCGTCTCCCACTCTGTTTTGCAACAATCTTCGTAGGGAATTTTTCTGGGAATTTTTGGGCCACCTCTGAGTGGAGTTTCGTGAATTTTACATCAGGGAACCAAAATCAGTTTTTCTTTTTCTTTTTTTTTTTAATGGGTTTGGTTTTTTGTGTTTTTTGTTTGTTTGTTTGTTTTGTTTTGTTTTTAATTTGTTTGTTTTTTGTTTTTTAAATTTCTTTACTTCCGGATAACCCAGTGCAGTTAAAGCCTTTTGGGGGAAAGCAGGTCCAAGACGAAGGAGGAGCGCACCCTCACAGCCTTGGACTCTGGTTCGCCGCGAGCGACCGCTACTCCCGGGCAAACGCTTCCACGCGGAGAGCCGGGGCGCCCAGCCTGCGCGACGAGTACGCACGCGCTCTGGTGCGAGCCTCCCGAGCTGGGCACCCAGGCACTGCCGCCGGTCATCTCGTTTCTACCCTCCGCTTCCCTACATTTGCAAATAGCTTTGCAAAGCTTTGCGTTGCTTTTCACATTTGCATTAAAAACAAACAAACAAACAAACACGAAAGCCCTTTTACCAGGCGCCCCACCTGAAGGGACCACTCGGGCTTCATTTCGCCCGTCGCGGCGCGAGAACCCGTCTGTCCCGCCTCCCCTCCAAACCTCGCTTCTTTTCCTCTCCCGGAGCACTCCGGCTGCTCCCGGACTCGGCGCCCAGGCCCGGGGCCTCCAGACTTGGGCCTCGCTTGGGCTCCCTTGGGCGGGGGCTCCCCGTCCCCAAAACGGAAGGGTGCCCCTGCCTGCTGTCCGAGGCGCGCTCGCGGGGAGGCTCTCCCAGCGCACAGAGAGGGGCCGAGGGATCCGGGAGCTTTCGCGGGGCGAGCTGCCCACAGGTGAGGTTAACGGCATAAGTGGGGATTGCGACCCCGAGGTCCAGGGGATAATTCTAAAACGTTAAAAATAAAACTTCCCATTGGTGACCAAAACCTATTCCAATCAGACCTAGATTACGCACTGAACCAAAACAAGAGGCACGGGGTGGCTCGTTGGTCTAGGGGTATGATTCTCGCTTTGGGTGCGAGAGGTCCCGGGTTCAAATCCCGGACGAGCCCGCTTTTTTCATTTTACGTGGTTTTAAACTCCATTTCTTCTCGGGCGGAAGGTTGGGGTCTTGGGCAGGCAGATGGCGGACCCGAGAGTTCCGAGGGGCTGGGGGGTCGGGCAGAAGGGCGGGTGGAAGAGCGAGTGCGTCGCCCCGAAACCGACGGTCGCTCGCACAGCGGCTCGCGGTTGTTTTCCGCCGATTCGGGAAGCGGCGCCTTCTCTTCTCAGCCATAGAGCACTGTGGCCGCCGCCACGGAAGGCTTTCGCGACGATTAAGAATATTACAGGGATGACGCCGCCGGCGGGTTTCCGTAGTGTAGTGGTTATCACGTTCGCCTAACACGCGAAAGGTCCCCGGTTCGAAACCGGGCGGAAACAACGTGTGCGGCTCCTATTTTTTTTTTTTTTTCTTCCTTTTCTTCCTGCTAAAATTTGGGGGAGACCATGAGCCAAACTCGGCCCCGGCTTAGAACATCCACCGTCAACTACTATTCGGGATTTATTACCCTGGGGTGAATTTTGGAGACTGTACGGGACAAACCTGGCTTCGGTTCAGGACGTCCACCATCCTTCCTCTCCGCCTATTTGGAGACGTGGGCGCCTTCTGTGCGCTCTTCCAGGACGGAGGCAAGGATGGCCGCCCCGCACGCCTGTAACCACCTGACCCCAGCCCCACCTGAGCGCACAGAAGGCGCAGAGCGCGGCGTCCCGCCGCCCGCTGTGTGACACTGAAAGCAGACAGTGCCCAATTCCGCTTCGTCCCACTCTTTGGGATCGATAGCAAAACGGCACACTGCGCGCCTCGGGTGGTAGCGGTGGGATTCGAACCCACGACCCCGAGGAAACTGGAGCCTTAATACAGCGCCTTAGACCGCTCGGCCATACTACCCCGCCGGACTCGTGCTTAGGGTGTCGCCTTTCCCTGCTGGTAACTTTGCAAGGGTCTTCAGGGAAAGAAAGCGCTGGGAAGAATTTAGGGTTAGAGCAGACCCCTATCCCGACCGGCGGGGTTAGTCTGACCAGAGCCCCCGGGCTCCACCCGCGCGCAGAGGAGAGGGACTCGCGGAGCGCACGCCCTCGGCCCTGGTTTGGGGAAGGACTCTAACGCCCACCCTTCACTTTGGAGAATGGGCGTGAACCCCGCGGAAGGGAAGCCTATAGCACCTGCAGGTTTTTTTGTTTTCTGTTTTGTTTTTCCAATTTGTTCCGTGAGTGTCCATTATTTTTAGAAATTAAATAAAGGAGAGGGGAACCCTGCATGCACCCCCCCCTTAATTTTTTTTTAACCCATAACCTTTTTTTTTTTTTTTCCTGGCAATAGAACCAGCGCTTTTAGAAGAGGCCGTGATCTCAGAGGTCACAGTTCTGCTGCCTGAGGTGTCCACCCTTTTAAACAAGTGTTCCAGCTGGAGATATCAAACCTTCACAAAACACGCTGGATGGATACCCTATGAGGAATCCTCCCTCCCCTCCCCGTTATAAAAATCCATTAAAAAAGAAAAGAAGAAAAAGAAAGGAAAGGGAAGAAAAGAAAAAAAGATAAGAAACAGCACATTCAGGGAAAAAAAAATAGAAAAATATTCACCGGAAAACCCACAACTTAGAGATAACTATCAGTATTTGGTGAATTAACCTCCAGTTTCTTTTTCCGTTAATTACCCCCTGCACCATGTCTATCTGCTATAGATACAGATTTGAAATATGCTTTTTAGATTATGTCGCTAAATCTTCCCAAACCTCATTTGAATAGCTGGGTCTAAATTCTTGCTGATGAGAGAAGTTTGAATTCTGTCCCTGGGGTTTTGACTTTTAATGAGAGATTGAGGAGGGGTGGGTAGCCAGTGCTGGAGTGGAGTACACTAGGGTTACTGTACCATCCTAGTAGATTTATTTTTCTCTTGCTTAGTTTCTTAATGTAAAGATTGTCACGAGATTCTTAGAACTGTATACAGCTGTGTGTTTTCAAGCCAAAGTGTGTATCTTTCAGGGCTTATGGGCATTCAGAGGCGGTCTCAGCTGAGTATCTCCTGTTTTAATAACAGGACCTTCTACTCAGTGAGAACCATCTCTGTCCCACACTGAGATCCTCAGCGTAGATTAGAAAATGTGTCCGCGCAGCTGCAGGGAACTGTGAATTGACCACAGCCTCTGCCATTAGCAGGGCTCTCATGGTCTACACATCTCCCCAAGTTAGAGTATCAAGTTCTTACAAGAGAGTGCCAACCAGTTTGGAATCTGAGATCTTCAAACAAAAAGCAACCTTCCTCCTGGCCAAAATTTTGAAATATAGATTCCACACAGAATTGCAAAGAAATGCAGGGAGATCTCATGCCCTCTTCACCTGCCCTTCCCAAAGTTGACATCTTGCATTACTACGGTATGGTCACAAAACTGGACATTGATTTTGGTACAGGCCACAGGGTTTATTCAGATTTCTCTATATAGTAGTTTTATCACATGTGTAGCTTCTTCTTACTGTCACCACAATCAAAATACGGAACAGTTCCATCACTAAAAGGCTCCTTTGGGCTACCCATTTCATAACCACACACAACCCCTTCTAATCTACCTTGCTCCCCATCCCTAGCATCTGGCAAGCACTAATCTGTTCTCCATCTCTGTAATTTTGTTATGCCAAGAATTCCATGTGAATGGAATGAGTACGTAGTCTCTAGAGATTGGATTCTTTACTCAGCATCATTCCTTTGGGATTCATTCCAGGTGTCAACAGTTCATTTCTTTTTATTGTTCAGTAATGCTCCCTGGTATAAATGTACCAAACCTTGTTTAACCATTCAACTGTTTCCCTTTATTCCTAGTTTGTCAGGTGTTTTTTATCATGAAAGGGAATTGAGTTTTGTCAAACACCTTTTCTGCATCAATTGAGGTACTCATGTGGGTTTTTTTATCCCTTTATTCTGTTAATATTGAAGACTTTTTCAATGTTGAGTTTTGATAGTTCTTTATATACTTCAGCTACAAGTCCTTTCTCATATTTATGTGGTTTGCAAATATTTTATCGCCAATCAATTTTTGACAAAGGTGTAAAAGCAATTCAGATCCATAGGCAAGAGAATATATGTCCCTAAGCAAAAGAATGAATCTCAATCCAAACCTCCCAGTTTACACAAAAATTAATTCAAAAGAGATCACAGTCTTAAATGTAAAATGTAAAACTATAAATTTTTTAGAATAAAAATAGAAATCTTTAGGACTTAGAGCTGGGTGAAGATTTCGTAAATTTGATACCAAAGAGGAAAAATGTATAATTTGGACCTCATAACAATTAAAAACATTTCCTCTATGAAAAACTGTGTTAAGAGGATAAAAAGATTTTAAAGTAAAAATGAAAGGCCTACATAATCATGGGTCGTTTTGCAAAAACAGCAATCTTCAACCTGTCCAGATTTCTTCCAGAACCACCTCTCTATTTATGAGTCAGAAGTTAGAATCTACTAAATACCTCAAAATGCCTCTCTCCCCCCAACTAATTTCCATCTTCCACAGAAGGGCAACGGGAGAGGAAGAGAGAGAATCTCACGCAGACTATTTGCTGAGTGTAGGGCTCAGTCTCAGGATCTTGAGATCATGACCTGAGCCTGAATCAAGAGTCCAACGTGGGGGCACCTGGGTAGCTCGGTTGGTTAAAGCCTCTGCCTTTGGCTTGGGTCATGATCCCAGAGTCCTGGGATCGAGCCCCACATCGGGCTCTCTGTTCCACAGGCAGCCTGTTTCCTCCTCTCTCTCTGCCTGCCTCTCTGCCTACTTGTAATTTCTGTCTGTCAAATAAATAAATAAAATCTTAAAAAAAAAAAAAGTCTAACATGTAACCGACTGAGCCACCCAGGTGCCCCGCACACTTGTGTTTATATAAGGTCAAGACAAAGGTTGTGTGTGACAAATCTTAGAATTACTGCAAGTATATCTTGCATGATGACAGAGCAATTCCACAGACATGAGTGCAGAAATAATGAGAATTATGTGCAAAAATGCTCCCGGCAGTTTTACTTATAACTCAAACCTGGAGAAAGTCCAAAGGTCCACCATATTTACACTGAATCAATAAAATCTTACAGAGTCGTATGTGGAATGATTACAACAACAATAACAAAATGGTCTGAATGTTTGTGTCCCCCCAGATTCAGGTGTTGCAATCCTAATGCTCAGCTCCCTGGTCCCTTCTGCCGTATGAAGACACAGTGAGGAGCCGACAGTCTGCAGCTTGAAAGAGAGCCCTCATCAGAACTCCATCATGTTGATCTCGAACTTCCAGCCTCCAGAACTGTGAGAAATAAATTTCTGCTGTTTATAAGCCTCTCAGTCTGTGGAATTTTGTTACAGCAGCTCATGCAGACTCAAACTAGCTTACTGTTAGAAACAACAACATGGGAGGTTCCTGGGTGGCTAGGTTGGTTGTGTCTCCCTTCCTGTCAGGTCATGGGATCTAGCCCAACATCGGGTTCCCTGCTCATCAGGGAGCCTGCTTCTGCCCCTCCCCCATTCATGCTCTCTCTCTCTCTCTCTCTCTCTCTCTTTCTTAAATAAATAAATAAATAATCTTTTTTAAAAAAATATTTTATTTATTTATTTGACAGCCAGAGATCACAAGTAGGCAGAGAGGCAGGCAGTGAGAGGGAGAGGAGGAAGCAGGCTCCCTGCTGAGCAGAGGGCCGGGTGCAGGGCTCAGGACCTGAGCCGAAGGCAGAGGCTTTAACCCACTGAGCCACTGAGGCACCCCTCAAAAAAAAAAAAGTCTTAAAAAAAAAAGAATCAACAACATGGATGGATTTCACTTACATTAATACTGAGCAAAAGAAGTCAGGGATAAAACATCCTATATTCTGTTATTTGCATACATAAGACATTCAAGCATGAGCAAAACTGATAGAAGTTAGACACCCTCTTACCTGGGGGAAGAAAGTGCACATACTGACTGCACAAGCACAGAGGAAACATATTGGTGCTGGAAATGTACTGTCTTGATCTGGGTGGTGGGCACGTGTGTGTGTGTGTGTGTTTGTGTGTGTGTGTATTCACTTGGTTGTGGACTTAAGATCTTTGCACATATAAAACTATTTATATAACAAAGATATCTTTGTGCAACAATTTTTAAAAAAAAATATGAATTCCTTAATTGGAAAGGCCATTGTATTCGATGTTTATTGCTGAATAACAAATTAACACAAATTTAGTGGCTTAAAACAACACAAATTGTTTTAGTGTTTTTTTAATTTAAATTCAGTTAGCCAATGTATAGTACATCAATAGTTTCAGATGTTGTGTTCAATGATTCATCAGTTGCATATAATACCGAGTGCTCATCGCATAATGTGCCCTTCTTAATACCCATCACCCAGTTACCCCATCCCCCTACTTCCTCCTTTTGTAACCCTCAGTTTGTTTCCCAGAGTCCATAGTCTCTCATGGTTTGTCTCCCTCTCTGATTTCTTCCATTCAGGTTTCCCTCCTTCACCACGATCCTCTGCAGTATTTCTTATATTTCACACACGAGTGAAACCCTATAATAATTGTCTTTCTCTGATTGACTTCTTTCACTTAGCATAATACCCTCCAGTTCCATCCACATCAATGTAAATGGTAGGTATTCATCCTTTCTGATGGCTGAGTAATATTCCCTTGAATATAGGAACCATATCTTCTTTGTCCATTCATCTGTTGAAGGACACCTTGGCTCCATCTACAGTTTGGCTATTGTGGCCACTGCTGCTATGAACACTGGTTCTTCTTCTTTTCACTACATCTGTATCTTTGGGTTAAATACCTGGTAGTGCAATGCTGAGTCATAGGGTAGCTCTATTTTTAATGTCTTTAGGGACCTCCATTCTGTTTTCCAGATGGCTGTACAAGCTTGCATTCCCACCTACAGTG